ATAAAGCGAGACTAGTAGCACAAAGGTTTACGCAGAGACCCGGGATCGATGTCGATGAGACTTATTCTCCTGTAGTGGATGGAATCACATTCTGGTATTTGATATCAATGGCAGCAAGTATGAACTTGCAGATGAAATTAATGGATGTCGTGACCGCATATTTATATGGGTCATTAGATGCTGAAATTTATATGAAGGTTCTTGAAGGAATTACCGTCCCTAAACCAGAAAAACGTAACATGTATAGTGTAAAATTGCAACGATCACTTTATGGCTTAAAACAATATGGAAGAATGTGGTATAATCGTCTTAGCGATTTTCTTGAAGAGAAGGGATTCTTGAAGAATGAAGATTGTCCCTGTGTATTTATACGAAAATCTAAGAAAGGTTTTTGTATAGTATCAGTCTATGTAGATGATCTGAATGTCATTGGAACTACAAAGACATCGAAGAAGCGAGTACTTACCTAAAATCTGAATTTGAAATGAAAGATTTGGGTTAAACTAAATTTTGTTTAGGCTTGCAGCTTGAGCATACCCATGAAGGGATTTTAGTACACTAGTCTGCATATACCAACAAGGTATTAGAAAAATTCCATCATGAAAATGCACATCCCGAACGTACACCCATGATGTGGAGATCCCTCGACGTAGAAAAAGATCCTTTTAGACCCAAAGAAGAAGTAGAAGAAATATTAGGATCTGAGATATCCCTATTTAAGTGCCATTGGTGCGTTAATGTACCTTGCAAATGGTACAAGTCCAAATATTGCATTTGCTGTTAACCTATTGGCAAGGTTCAGTTCAGCACCAACCAAAAGGCATTGGAGTGGTGTAAAAAGAATTCTTAGGTACCTTCGAGGTACTATTGATCTTGGATTATATTTCCGGAAGAAACAAGATCTTAGCATAATTGGGTATATGCAGGATATTTGTTTGATTCTCATAACGGATTATCACAGACTGGGTATGTATTTCTTAGTGGTGGAACAGCTATCTCCTGAAAGTCATCTAAGCAGACTATTGTAGCAACATCCACTAACCACTCTGAAATCATTGCATTATATGAAGCAGCCAAAGAGAGCATTTGGCTTAGGCGTGTTCATCAGCATGTACAGAATGCATGTGGAATCAACATTGCACCTACCCCTACTATTATCTATGAAGATAATTCAGCTTGTATTGCACAAGTTCAATCAGGTTATATTAAATCAAATATCATAAAGCATATTTCGCCTAAATTTTTCTATACGCATGAATTGCAAAAGAACGGAGAAATTATGGTAACTCGTGTCAAATCTTGTGATAATCTTGCATATGTATTCACAAAGGTTTTAGCTCCACCAATTTTTGAAAAGTGCATACGTGGGCTTGGCATGAAAAGACTAAGAGAAATACAAGAATCATGGGGAGAACTCCTTGATTAAATAAACCTTAGAAGACACGGTGACCATTCTACAAGAATGTTCAATAAAAATCTTGAAGATTATTATTGTACTCTTTTTCTTATTGTGAGTTTTCATGAAGTTTCTCATAAAGGTTTTAATGAGGCAATATATGTGCAATTAACAAGAACGGTATATGTGTACTCTTTTCTCCATAAACCGTTTTTTTCCACTGGATTTTTCGGATGGAGTTTTTAATGAGGCATAATATCGTGGTAATCACCCAAGAGGGAGTGTTATAAAACATATGGACTTTGGAATATAGAAAGAGGAGAATGAGAGATCCTAATCCTAGTTCGTTTGTTGTATGAGCGCTTATCAAACTCTAGGACATATTCAAGCTATATATACATGGGAGATCCTGCATTGTAACCATAATATTCAGACAGCAATAAAGAATAGTCCCACCGTTGTTCTCTTGTATTTACTTCTGCGTTTGCGTTGCTATCGAGAGCGAGAGCCAATCCGACGTGAACGACGTGTTTTATAACAGAGGCATCCCACCCAGGGGATATTCCCACAATATGCGGGGCAACCACATCACACTGAAACGAGCGGACAGGGGCGACCCCAGGTGGGACAAGCGCTTGCTTGCCACGCGAGGAAGGAGAGGAGCGCCTAGGGAGGAAGCAGCAGCGAGCTCCGACGAGCAGGCGGGCGAGCTTCGGCGAGCCGTGGGCCCTTTGGCGCACCGGAAGCTCCAGCCCCGCTGGCGCGCGCTGCGCCGCCGCAGGGGCGACCTTCAGCCCCACCGCGCGCGGGTGAGGGCCATCCCCAGACACACTGGCGCGCGGTCGAGGGCGAGCCCCAGTCCCGCCGGCGTGCGTGCGAGGGCGACGGGTGAGCTCCTCCGGCTCAGGGCGCGGGCGCGGGCGCGAGCTCCTTCGGTTCCAGGCACGATGGCGAGCGGCGCCCGGCTCCAGGCGCGCGGGCGAGGCGGGGCTCCGCCGCACGATGGAGTGGGAAGGGATAAGGAGAGAAGGAAGAGAAAAAATTAAAAAAAACTGATAAATGGTCCCCAACTGTCAGTGGGTGATCCCAGTTTTGATGTCTTCAAACCAAATAAAAATAAGTTAATCCAATCCCTCTTCAACCAAATAGAAATTGGAGTCGTCCCAGAAACCAGAGATGGGACCGTCCCATCCCACGTTAATTTCCAACCAAACGCTCCTTTGGTTCTGTACGAGGAGCAACCAGGCTCATCTGAATATCTGATGCAAGCACTGTATGGTATGATAGGTTAGATGTGCAAGCGTTTTAGCCAGGCTGATTTCGTGCAAAATGAGTCGTCGAACCTGGCTCTCCCTATACAAGATTTTCCTCGGTTCCCATAGAGCCTGGCGGGGGTGGTGCAAGTGAATGCGCACGGGCGTCCACGTGAGAGGATTAAATCACTCTGATGCATTTGCACCATCGGAACTAAGCAACAGCTCTACGGGACCAAGCTGATAGCACACCAAATTAAAACCAAATAAAACATCCTTGCACGCGCCCAGCATAGCTGCTAGGGCCCTGGTTGCCTCCGCGATCTTGGCTGCGCTCACAAGGAACCAAACGCGTCCTAAACAACTGAGCACCCGAACAAGTAAAGGAGTTTCGTATAGCATCACCACTGGAACTGGCCGAACCGGTTTCAGAATTCAATTGCTTTCGTCAGCTTGTTCAGTAAACCGACTGCCTGCTTTTGCTTTTGCAAAAGCCAAATAAGACCCAAAAGTCACAGGTGCTTTTACCCAAAAGCAGCTTTGATGGTAATACAAATCCAAAAACACCTCTTCCTCCTGCTTTCACTTGTTTTTGAAAAAAAAATTGCCTACCCGCCACTGGTTATGAAAGCGAACTATTTTCCCCTTCTATTTTGTGCGTGTTCAGTTCCAAAAATAGTTCAAAAAAGTCTTCTGATCAAAAATCACATCGAATCTTGCGATTGATACGTGGAACGAAATGTAGAGCGAAAAAAAACGGTTCATTTGGAAATCACGAGACGAACGTTTTAAACCTAATTAGTCCATGATTGAACACTATTTACCAAATAAAAACGAAAATGCTAGAGTACCCAAATTTCAAACTTTCACTCCGACTAAACACAGCCTCTGTTTGCATCGCGACGAAACAGAGAGGCGCCGCCGCAGGCCAGACCCTCGCAGGCAAGAAGAGGAGCGCGGGAGCGGCCTCCGACTCGCTCCTCCTACTCGCGCGACGCGGTCCCGATGGCGCGGCCCGCGATGAGCTCCTCCAGTCGCGCCGACAAGCGGCTTCCGGTAGCGCGGACGCGGCCCGACATGCTCCTCCGGAGGCGGCGGGCGAGCGACACCGTCCAGATCCGGCGGCGCCTCCGTCCCACGCTGCTCCGGCAGTCCCTGGGGCAGGTGGCGCCTCCCTCTCCCTCCCTGCTTCGGCAATCCCTGAGGCTGGGGCCAGCGGCGCCTCCCTCCCTCCCTGCTCTAGTGACGAAGCTCCCTCGGGCGAGGAAGAAGAAAGAATAAGGGGCTGACGAACCGCTCGTCAGTGTGAGAGGGAGAGAGTTGAGAGTTGTGGGTTGTGGATGACATGTGGGGTCTGCTCAAAAGTTTTTTCAGAAGCCACATCTGCTGAACCAATCAAATCATTGAGAAACAAAACAAGAATAACAGATAGTGGGATAGGGGAAAATTTTGAACAAGAATATGTAGATTTAATTTGATGCATGGAAGCTTTACTTGTGTCATGAACATAGCATCTTTTTATTTAACAATTTTAGAAAAGTTAATTTCCTAGCGTGCAGGATCTGGATCTGCGGCACGCACACCCGCACCCACCGTCGGAGAAGGCCGCGCTCCGTGCCCAAGAAGAAGGCCACCGCAAGAGAAGAAGGCTGCGCTCGCGACGGCACGACCCCACGCCTTCTATCTCTCTCTCTCTCTCTCTCTCTTCTTCTCAACTTCGGCGGGCTTAGAAGAGAAGTGGCTCGGGGGAGGTAGGCCGACCAGACACCAGGCAGTGGGGACGGTGGGAGGGCGGCTTAGGGTTTTAGCGGCGGTGAAGATGGCCAAGCAAGGTCGGGGCGGGGGCGCCATGGCTGAAGCTCGCCGCGGAATAAGGAAGTCATGGCCGGAGCTCGCGACGGCAAGCGGGAGGCGGAGAGGAGAAGAAGGAGGCCACTGCGGGCGCGCTAGGGTTTTGTCGGAGCTCCGCGGCGAGGTGGCGGACGGTGGTGGAGGCGAGGGCACTCGAGCCGGATCTTGAGGGGGTCGAGGGCGGCGTCGCCGGAGCGGGGGGGGTGAGGAGGCTACAGGAGAAAGAAGAAGAATAGTAGAAGAGAGAGTGTGTGGGCGGAGTGGCGTGCGCGTGCGCTGGTGCACCTTCTAGTACAGCCCTAAAAAATTATTTGATGATACCCTGCGTGCTTTTTTCACTTCCTGAATAATCTTGACATAATGCCACAACAGAAGCACACAACAACTCCACAAGTATCAACACCCATCTCACAGATACTGCCGGTACGTGCTTTGCCAGCACCAGGGATTGACAAATATACATCACGTAGCATATGAGACGATGCGTGTGAAGCCGTACGTTACTCAGGCTTCCAGGACGAGAGGGGAGGTGTCTCCGAATCCTTCCAAGTGTTGGGGAAGCTTTCATGGTAGCGATCACCCTGGACATCTGCCGACGCATAAGACTCGAGCTCAGACATGTCCTGAGGTGTGAGCTTCACCGAAAGCGCCGCCACGTTGCTGTTGAAATTCTCAACCTTCGTCGTCCCGGGTATGGGGCAGACGTCGGGCCCCTGGTGGTGAACCCAGGCCAACGCCAGCTGCGACGGCGTGCACCCCTTCCTCGCCGCCATTGCGTTGACTTTCTCAAAGATCACGGCGTTCTTCTCCATGCTTTCCGGCTGAAACCTCGGCAGATCCTGGAAATGGTTTAATTTCATTGAAATTTGAAAAAGGTTAGATGGCTCAGCAATAATCTGTGGCACTACTACTAAGATGCTGTTTGGTTAGGCCTTTTCAGCCCGTAATACTAGTATAAACCTTGCGGAAATCTTGATCAGACAAGGTGTCGACCAGCTTAGGACCGCTTGACGAGAACCCTCTGCCCAGTGGACTATATGCCACTATTCCAATGCCAAGCTCCCTGAAATTGCCAGAGCAAGAACAAGTAAATAAACAATCTAGATACAGTTTTGGTGGTGGCTCAACAATATAGATACAGTTTTGGTCGTGAAAAAGAAAAGACCTGCAAGTCGGGATTATGTCAGCTTCAACATCTCTTGACCAGAGAGACCACTCCAGCTGCACAGCAGTGATGGGATGAACTGCGTGCGCTCTCCTGATCGTCGACGCCGATGCTTCGGACAGACCAATGTATTTGATCTTGCCCTCTGCAACTAGTTTCTTCAGTTCACCTACCTGTTATAATTATGGATGTCAAGCAGGTACATAAGCTTATCCATCAGGTTTAAGTGCACGAAGAAGCAGGGGTCCGACGAGCCCATTGTGGCTCTGCCCCGAATTTTTTTATTTTTTAGCCCTTTTTTGAAAAAAATTTCACAAATATGTCTCTGGAGGTATGATTTAAAATCTGGACCCTTAGCTCGGCACCAGCTGGACCCTTAGCTCGGCGCCAACAACGATGGCGCCGAGCTTACACGTCTCGGCGGCATCGTTGCTGGCGCCGAGGTTGGGGCCACGTTGGCGGCGCGGACGCTGACATGGCAGCCAGCTCGGCGCCGTGGAATTGGCGCCAAGCTCAACGCCATGGATCTGGGCGCCGAGCTTGGCGCCGTGATTATTGCCGCCGAGCTCTGTCTTATACGGGCCCTCCCTCCCTTTCTCTCTCTCTCTTCTCTCTCTCTCTCGCCAGGGCACCGCGTCCGCCGCCGCCGCGTTCGCCGCCGCTTGTTGCCCCGACCACCGCGCTCGCGCCCATACACCGGCGCCGGCGTCATGCCCGCCAGCGCCTATGCGCACCGCGCGCGCCACCACCGCTCACCGCTGGCGCCGCTCGCGCCTGGCGCCGCCGTTCCCGCCACCTGGCCGTCTCCCCGGTCTGCCCACCGCACCGTGACCACCGCCCCACCCCACCGCCCCGCGCCGCGCCAGCGCCCGCCCGCGCCCCGCCACCGCCGCCAGCACCCGCCTGCCGGCCCGCCCGGCCGCCACCTGCCCGGTGGTGCCCTGCCCCCGCCCTGCCCGGCCCGGCGGCCTGCCAGACCCTCACGCTCATGTTGCCTCGCCGCTTGGCCACCACCGTCGTCGGACAGGTAAAAATTATGAATTTGTAATGTTCGTATTTAGTTAGTTTTGATTGTAGTGTAGTAGTTTTGATATTTGTTATTTACTAGTTAATGTGATGACTCAGGTAGTTGATTTAGTTAGTGATCTAGTGAGATAGATATGTAGATAGATAGAAACATAGATACATTTGTACAAAGATATAGTTAGATAGCTACTTAGATAGGTAGTTATATATTTAGTTAACTAAATAGGATCTAACTATTTAGTGAGTACACTGTATATATATATGTAGTTATTATCTTATTTACTTTGTTTGTAGTTAGAAAGTACTTGTTAGGTACTATCTATCGTCTAATTTGGACTAAAGGACATGTGTTTCGTTACGTGTTTGAAATAGATGGACAACCTAGTGACCATATATCATGGAGGCATCGTTGAAAGTGATCACTATGGATATGTTGAGTTTGTTGACAAGCAAAGCGTGCCTGTGCTATTCAATGATAGGCCTTCATTTAGTGAGATGGTTGTAAGGGCTCGGGAGGAGCTGCATTGCCTTGGAGATGATGATGATGGCATTGCAGTTGAGGGTGTACTGCACCTAGGTTCTCCTCCCAACATCCTTAGGCGAATGATCTCAATTGGATGTGCGGATCAGTGCGAGAACTATGTGAGATCGGCTATGAAGAGCCAGCTACAATGTTTGGACGTGGTTGTGCATCGGGTGTTAGTTGATCCCATCCCTCATGGGTTTTCACCACCAATGGGTCAACATGCACACTTCGACCCTCCCGTCCCGGAACCTGATATGGATGTGGAGGTTGCACCTACCGTTCCCGATGCTCAATCTGCCCCTAATGAGCTAGTTGGAGATGCTTGTCAGACTCATGATGTTGTGGTAGATCCTCCTCATGAGATCCCTTTGACACAAAATCATCCGAGTAAGTGTCTTATCCGCATGGTTATTGGGAGCTTACCCCATTCCTTACATCCAATTTTTCATTCTTTCCTCATTTTTCTACTTATGTTGCAGTAGACATTTCTGACAATGTGGATGTGCCCACTGTTGCTGTGCAAGTGCTCTATGGAGATGGATTCCGTGGCTCTAATAGTGTTGAAATTATGAATGATTCGGAGCCATATGAGATGGCAAGGGCTCTTGATTTTGATGATGATCGTCCTGTTGGAGAGTTGACAGATAGTGATGTTGAGATGCTGAGGCATATCTTTCCCGGCCGCCGTGATCCAAGAGTTCACAAGTTCAGCGATCTTGCTCATTTTGATCAGGCGTGTGTAGAAGGACATGATGATGAGCTCCTAGAAGCTCCTGAGGCCGGCCCTAACATGGTAATTGAGAATGGAAGGGTATTCAAGGACCTCCCTGCATTGAAGAGTTGGTTGCAGGCATTTGCAGTGATACGAAAGAGACCTTACAAGGTCTTACATTCATATGCGGAGCGTCGTTACATAGTTGTGTGACAAAGAACGCTGCCCATAGAGGGTTTGTGCAAGGAAACAAAAGGTCACCGGAAAGTGGAAGATCACAAAGGTTGTCGGGCCACACAATTGTGATGACCATGTGCTGACACTGAAGTATCGGTAGTTGACATCTACCCTCATTGCCAAGCGGTTGATTAGAATATTGCAGGGAGAACCCAACATGAAGGTTAGAACAATTACCAGGACCGTTGAGGCGTTGTATGGAGGTTATGTGATAACTTATGGTAAAGCTTGGAGGGCTAAGTAGCGAGCGTGGAAGAAGATATATGGGGACTGGGAGGATGGGTATGAGCAGCTGCCAGTACTTTTCAATGCAATCAAAGCGGTGAATCCAGGCATGCATTATGAGTACATCCCAAAACCAAATGCATGGAAGGATGGGAGGCAGATATTCTTCCGTGCTTTCTGGTGCTTCCCTTAGTGTGTCGAGGCCTTTAGGCACTGTCGTCCTGTCTTCTCCATTGATGGTACGTTCTTGATTGGCAAATACCAGGGCACACTTCTTATAGCCATATCCTGTGACGTGAACAACAAGTTGGTTCCTTTGGCATTTTCTTTGGTTGAGAAGAGGAACAATGACAGTTGGGGATGGTTCTTGAGGCTAGTCCGGATACATGTGGAAGGGCCTGGCAGGGAGGTTTGCGTCATATCTGATAGGCACCAGGGCATACTTAATGCCGTGCTAGAGCAGATAGAGGGGTATGCACCTTTGCACCATCATTGGTGTACTCGGCACCTTGCTGAGAATCTACTCTGGAAGGATGGTGTGAAGGATAACTTTGATGTGTTCCAGAAGGCTGCTCGATAGCTTGAGGACAAGTACTTTCAGAAAAAAGTTGGAGTAGGTTAGAACCACATCAAATGCAGAAGGTAGACAATGGCTCACAGGTTTGACGATGGATTTGGAGAAATGGACAAGAGCTCACAACGCCGGTGGATGGAGGTACGAGTTCCAATGTAGCAACATGGCGGAGTCATTCAATAAGTTGCTTTTGGGGATACGTGGTATACCCATGAATGCAATCGTTCAATTCACCTTCTACAAGCTTGTTGCCTAGTTCAATGATAGACATGCCCATGCATTGAAGTTGCGGAGTGATGGAGAGATATGGGCTCTGAAACCAAAGGCACACCTAGAGAAGGCAAATGAAAGGGCTGGCACACATTAGGTTACATGTTTTGACCATGCCACAGGGACTTATCAGGTTGAGCATAGGGGTGGTACAATGTCCGACGGTGAGGTCTAAGAGTCGAGGATGCATGTGTAATCCTCCAAGATTTCACATGCACTTGTGGTAAACCAAGGCAGTACCACTTTCTATGTTCTCATTTGGTGGCAGCAGCTAGGCATCGCAACTATAATATCGAGAGCAGGATACCTCACGAGTTCAGTGTCGACACACTTGTGCACACATGGAGCCCCCGCTTCGTGCCTTTCTGAGACCCTGGAGAAAGTGGCCTCCATATGATGGGCCAAAGTATATTGCGGATCCAGCTTACCGCTGGAACAAGCGTGGATCAAGGAAGAGGACGAGGCACCGGATGGTTATGGATCAGATACCCGGGAAAATGAGGCGTGGGAGAGGAACCCCATTTCTTACTGACCTCGAGCAGTACGAGTGTGGCAAGTGTGGTAGACTAGGCCACAATTCACGCACTTGCCATTGGCAGATTAGTGAGGTACGACTATTGGTTGTTTTCATTATTTTATATTTATCGTATTCATTTAATTAATTATGCATGTCTCAATTTATGTTTGTAATTGTGTCAATTACTTGTACATTTCTAAGTTCATGCTTCATTGTATATTGAATTTCTATTGACTTATACATTATTTTATATTGACTTTTTCTATAGGATGGTGCAATTCCACCTGCTCGACCCGACGTACGAGGCAACCCACCGAGGACGTCTCATAGCGGAGGGGTAGGTAATAATCTATACGTTTTGTTCAAATTTTTATGAGCATACATGTGTTCGTGAAGTAACGGGAGACTATGTTTTATTCCATGCAGGACCTTCAGCTCCTTCGTCCTAGAACCCACAATGGGTTTTTGGACATACAGTACAACAACAGGTACACTCCTTTCCTGCAAAGAGCTAGCCTGGATGTCATCTCTTTTCAGGTTCGTCGTGGGTTGCCCAAGTTCAACTCAGTGGCCATAACTGCGTTGGTTGACAGGTATTATCTTCAATCATTGCCTCCATTCATGGCCATTTGTTCATGCGCTTGCCTTTTTGACATGTAATCTTGCTTTGTCTAAAATGTAGGTGGCGACCGGAGACTCATAGCTTCCACTTACCTTTTAGAGAGATGATAGTCATGCTCTAGGACTGTCAGAAGATGCTAGGCCTAAGGATTCACGGCAACGCAGTGACTGGCCAGTGCATGTTAGAAGGTTGGAGAGCATGAGTAGAGGCCTCCTTGGGCATGAGGTTGGAGAGCAAGGGGCTAGCACTTCTAGAGTTCTAATCTCCTGGCTCCGGCAAGAGTTCGCATAGTGCCCCAAGGAGGCAGATGAGGAGACAGTTGGGTACTACTACAGGGCGTGGATCCTACACCTATTTGCCTGCGTTCTCTTCCCCGATGCCATGGGTGACACTACGTCGTGGATGTGGGTCCACTGCCTCAGTGACTGGGACTAGGCGGGTCAGTACAACTAGGGCTCTGCAGT